GGAGCGAGGGAGGGGGGAGAGCCTTGCATCATGCTGTATGCACATATGTGTGTGCGTGCGTGCGTATGTGTGTGTGTGTGTGTGTATGCATTTTTTTTTCTTTTTTTATCCTTTTCGCTCCTCTTTCTTTTCTTTTTCTTTTTTTTTTTTCTATCTCTTTTTCTTCCTAATCGAGTCTTCCTCCGTTCTTTTCTCTTTTTTTTTTCTTTTTTTTTTTTTTTTTCGAACTCTTACTATTCTCGTTCTCCTCGATGAAAGAAGAAAACCGAGAAAATAACGGAAGAAACTAAATCCTTTACGATTAGGCGAAAAATATTACGTGACATTATGCCGAGACAGTTATTTAAATGGACGTTCGTTGTCTGATAACAAACTGAATGACTGATAATATGGATTAATTCATATTTCAGACGATCGACGATATTTTTCTTTTTCTCTTTTTTATTTTTTTTTCTCTCTCTCTCTCTCTTTTTTTTTCTTTTAGCTCAAATCGAACTCTAAATCGATAATATTTTCTAATATTTATTTCTAATCGAACGAATCATCTAAACGACACAGTGACAATCGCATCTCTCTTTCTAATCTATATCTCATTTCAAGCGGACGAAAACGACGGAAAGTAAAATTATTTTCTATCGTTTTATTAATATCTTTCTTTTTCCTTTTTTCTTTCTTTTTCTTCTTTTTTTCTTTTCTCACTTCTTTTCTCTTTTTTCTTCTTTATTATCTTATTTTCGTCGAAAGTCCATTTTTCGCCCTTATGCTCCCTATTCCATCCCCTTTTGTACGCAGCACGCGAAATGGTTTTCTTTTTCTTATTTTCTTTTTTATCTTTTTTTTTTCTTTTTTTTTTTTTTTTTTTAATTTCTTTTTCCTCGAAGCTTCATTCTCTAAGGCGGCAAAATTCGTAAAAATTGCCAGCTGTCGTCGTCGTCGTCGTCGTCCGAAAAAATAGATCGATATATGACGCTATATATTAATCACTTTCTACGTGCTCGATCTCGGATTAATCGTATCATATATATATATATATATATATATATATATATATATATATATATATATATATATATATATACATACTTATATATAGATGAAAAGGGCTCCGAATACATACATACATGCATACGTATCAGGCAGTTCAAATGATCTTTGTAAACGAGCCCGATGAAACGGGGCGATATGTAAATCATACATATAATCGTAACGTACAATCGGAAGTAGTTCGAAGTGCTTTGGATGAATCCGATGAAAAAAAAAAAAAATCTGATTTATCGAGCACGATCAGGCGGTTAAAAAAAAAAAAAAAAGAAAAAAAAGGGAGGGAGAAAGAAGAAATAAAAAAAAAAAAAAGAAAGATGGCATTTTTTTATCAGAACCAACGAATCTGTCTCTTCGAAATTTGACAGATGCTCAATCCGCATCGTCATCATCATCATCATCATCGTCATCGTCATCGTCATCGCCATCGTCATCATCATCATCATCATCATCATCATCATCATCATCATCAACGTCCTCTTTTTTCTTTCTCTTTCTCTTTAGTTTCGAAAAATGTCATCTTATATGAAAAACGCATTGGCGGAAGAGGCCGAGTAGCGTCTAAAAAACTTTACTAAAAAATAAATTCGTCATTTTCAAAATAAACTCTTATCTATCTGTATTATCCTTTCTCCTCGTAATCCTTAGATCCGACATATAAATATCCACGTGAAAATCTTCAGTTTGTTTGCTTGCTATCATCCTTTCTTTCTTTCATTTTCTTTGACATTTCTTTATTTTTTTTTTTTCTCTTCTTCTTTACCTCATTATCTTTTCTTCGTTCCTTTATCTTATTCTCTTTTCTTTTCGCATTTTATCTTTTTACCTTTAATTTCTTTATACTTTATTCTCTCTCAAAATTATCCTTTTCTCTCAATGCTCTCTCTTTCTCTCCCCGTCCCTCCCACTCTCCCATTGTTTCTCTTTCTTTCTTTCTTTCTTTCTTTCTTTCTTTCTTTCTTTCTTTCTAAGACACTTGGTAATATGTGTGTAAAAAACGGTCTATTATCGCGTTTGGTATAAAAAACAGTTAAACATTGGAATGGTATTTGTCCGCACACTGACACCGACAATGTCTCAGGTCAACTATCTACACGATATATATGTATTATGTATATTATTATTGTGTTATCTCTTTCTCTTTCTCTCTCTCTCTCTCTCTCTCTCTTTCTCTTTTTCTTTTTTTAAAAAAGAGGATTAATCTGTAGGATATAAACGGTTTCATAGGGCTAAGATATAAAGGACAGAGATTTGAGGATTGAAGAGGAATAGGTGGAGAAGGAGGGGAGGAAGGAGATGAAGGATGAGGAGAAGGATGAGGAGGAGGAGGAATAAAGTGAAAATAGTGTATGTAAATGCTTGGGTGTCAATGCTTATACTTACGCGCGTAAATGCACGTGTATTTACGTATAATACGATTAAAATTTCTCGATAAAGACTATGATTTAAATTTTCATCCTTTTTTTTTTTTTTTTTTCTTTTCGAACACGAGGAAGGATATTTCTTTTTTCTTTTTTTTTTTTTTTTGCCCCCAGACAATTCTAAATTATTCACTTCCTTCGAAATATTCGACAACGTTTGAAACGAGAGCGAGACTTACAATTGAGAGAGAAAGAGAGAGAGAGAGAGAGAGAGAGAGAGAGAGAAAGAAAAAGGGACGAATAATTGTAATCTCTTTTATTTTGTTTTCTTTTTTTGTTCTTTTTTTTTTTTTTTTGTATTTCTTTTTTCCTTTCTGAGCTCCTTCTTTATCGAAAACCCGTCCATCCTCGCGTCTCTTTGTCCTTGACCACAGTCGTACGATCGGCCAGGTAAGCGAGGTCTTAACGCGTAAATAAATCCTCCCTCCCTTCCCCCTCCCCCCCTCTCTCTCTCTCTGTCTCTGTCTCTTTTCCTCTCTATCTATCTCTCTGTTCAATAAATACAACCGATAGACTATATAATTAATAAATTAATTTCAATAATAAACACACACGGATCGCGAGCGATGACGACGATCGACGACGAGCAAGGTCTTTCTGATTGTACGTCTGCATTTATATGTATTGTATGTGTGATTTGGTTAAGAAAATTTTTGAATATTTTTCTCGAGGAGAAAAAATGAAATGTCAGACGTAAAGGATGAAAGATAAAGGTTAGGAAAAAGTAAATAAACGTATTGATAACAAGTATGGGATTTAATGATTAAAACGAATATCGTAAAAATATTTTAATATTATATTGTTATAATTAACGAGGAAAACTTTTTGGATTTGGAAAAATTGAAAACCGAGAGGATCATGAAGTTCGTCGTCGTCATCGTCGTCGTCGTCATCGTCATCATCGTCGTCATCGTTGATCTCGCTTACTAATCTAAAAAAAGCACCTCGTGACGCGCAACACCTTCGAGTTTTCGAGTGATCGACCTTGAAGGGTCGAGCCGAACCCACGGAAACGCGCAAGTGTTCTCTCTCCTTTTTCAACGAAACGAGCCTACTCTCTTTTTTCTCTCTCTCGCTCTCTCTCTCTGTCTCTCTCTCTCTCTCGCTCTTACCTTTACACCTGTTCTCGATAGCTCGTCAATGATAATCTCGTGGGTCGAGCTTATCGAAGGAGAATGATCGATTCAAAGATTATACGGTATATATTGATTTATCGTGTTTGCAATTTTTTTTTCTCTTCCCCTTTTTTCTTTATTGTTTTTATTTTTCTCACCGTCGATAATCAATCAATCAATCAATCAATCAATCAATCAATCAATCAGTCAATCAATCAATCAATCAATCAGTCAATATAATATAATCGAAAGATTAGACTCGTTTCGTTCGTGGAAAAAAAGAAAAGAAGAGGAGAGTCGTCCCTTTTCAAGTACGAGTTCGATTGGGAAGTTATCGTAGCAGCAATAGTAGCAGCAGCAATAGTAGTAGTAGTAGTAGTAGTAGTAGTACTGGTAGTAGTAGTAGTGGTAGTAGTAGTGGTAGTAGTAGTAGTAGTAGTAGTAATAGTAGTAGTAGTAGTAGTAGTAGTAGTAGTTAGTAGTAGTAGTAGTAATAGTAATAATAGTAATTAATAGTAATAATACGCAAGATCGGCAAATACCTTCATTAAAATTTTAGCCGTTCTTCGATAATCGAATCTCGTCATTGATTTCGTTCATTCAGTTCGTTCGACAAATCTAAACACCGAGGTTTCTACGAAATCGAAATCGAAATCGAAATCGAAATATATTCGCGTATCGTTCAAGCACCATCATCGTCCGAGCACCGGCATCGTAATTATCATTAATATCCGCGCATATATATCATCGTCATTTCTCGTAAGATACCGATTAACCCGTGCACCATTAAAAAATTTTTAAACGAGATTTATCTTAAATTTTTCTTTTCGTTAAACGTTACAAAATAAAAATCTAATAGCTTCGTGAAAGACAAACGAGACGATATATATATATATATATATATATATATATATATATATATATATATATATATATATGTACGTACGTATATATTATTTTCACGATGAAACATTAATTATCGTCGTTATAAAAGAAAGAAGAAAAATTCAAGAGGAAAAAATATAATTTTCGTTGGATCACCGAATCGGTATATTACGAAATGATATAACCGATGATCGATGATTGTTTTCCCGTTTAAGGATAAAGGACCATTCTCAGACGCTGTCCGAGGCGACGGACATGGGCCTTTTGTAAATGGGCGCTGGTATCCTTGAGAAGCCACCCCTTTCCGAAGCAGCCTTGGGATCCTTTCTTGGGCTAGCAACTATTTGATTATCCTGAGGAAGAGCAACGGTTCCATTGCCGTCTATCCAAGCTCTTGTAAAATCAAGGGTGGGATCATTCTCACCAAGACTGTTAACCTGATAATCCCTTAATAGATCCTGCAATTTTTGTACAACCTCACGATCGTCCCGCAAATGGCCAACTTTTTGTAGAATCTGTTCCAACAATGGATTGGCCACTTTAGTAGGTGACGATTGAAGAGAACCAGTTGCCGATTGTTTAATTCTACGACCGTTTCTATCGTATTGTGGTCCACCGTTGTTGCTGGCAGGCCTCGGTAGACTTTGTCTTACTGTACTCTTTCTCGAAAAGCTCGGCGTAGTCGCACAGGTTGCCGATCCTTGTGGATTCAAAAAGGTGTCGGATTGCAAACTAGGCCTCTGTCTAGCCTGTCGACCATTCCACGTATTACTACCGCTGGTGCTAAGATGACTGGACTTCGGTAACGCCGAAGCTTTACTCAGACTACCAGTTGGTGGCTTTCGTAAACTGTTTCTAATCGTTCCACGTTTCAATGGACTACCTTCGGGACTTGAATTACTTTCCCTTGGAGTTCTGCTACCCGACGATGCTCTCGATACGTTACTGTTCTCTCGTATTACCGAACCAGCTCTTGGCGTTCTATCACCGGAAGATGATGCCACGCTTCTAGCTGGTGAAGCTCTCAATGGACTACCCGGTCCTATTCTAGTCTTTCGTAGACCAGTCTCGATACTTTCAGTTTCTACGCAGGATCTCTCCTCGTTTTGCTGCTCCGTTTTCGTGGGTTGCTCTGAAACAGCAAAGAAAGAGAAGGGAAAAAAACATTTTTTTTTTTCTATAATTTTTTTTCTATAATTTTTTTTCTTTTTTTGGTATTTTGATATTTCGTTTTAGAACTCGTTAGATACACGTTCTTCTCTTCGCTTGATGGGGGACGAATTAAAAAAATAAATAAATAAATAAATAAAAATAAAAATAAAAGAAAGATCAATCGAATAAAAGAAAAAAAAAGAAAAAAAAAAAAAAAAAAGAAAAAACGACACCGATGTTCAAAGGTCGATTTGAAAATTGATTTTCATAAATACATATATCAAGTATATATATATCAAGACATCGCTGACATATTTACAAATCAATTGAACGTCTAAAAAGAGATAGAGAGACATAATCATCGTCCTTCCTTGACAAAATCTTATCTCTCGTGATAGAAATCGATTCGATTCTCGATATCGCGAATATTTCTCTCTCTCTCTCTCTCTCTTTCTCTATACATAATATATATATATATTTTTTTTTTTCATTTCCTTTTTGCTTTCGATACTGCAACAGTCCCGATGCATACAGATATACGTTCACACGTTCGATACGGTCGAGGGCAAGTCAAGTCGACTCTACTCAATTCGATTCGAATCGAGTCGAGTCGAGTCGAGTCGAGTTGAGTTGAGTTGAGTCGACTCGTGTTGTGTCGAGTACCCTCTTCGCAAATATAACTTCGGTGTATTCAAGGCGAGTTTATAAGCGTTATCGAGGATCGACCATTGGCGATTGTTCCGAGGACAGGTTGCTGGAGATCGCCCACGCTCCGAGCTATCCTTCATATAATCCGTCGCCCCGACTAAAATGTCAGGCCAACCTCTGCAAGCGGTCTCTTGTGTACTTTGAATATTTAATCGTATCTATAGGGTGGTCAGAAAAAAAAAAAAGAATTTATACGAGTACAAATTTTTGTTATAAATTAATTCGTAATTTATAAATGCAAACATTTTCCTTTCCATTCGATAATCATTATTATTCATTATTAACGCGTCTTATCTTATTTTTAATCCTATCGATAATTTCATTATACTTCAGAATTCTTTACGGAAAAAAAAAAGGAAGAAAAAAAAAGAAAAAAAAAAAAAGAAAGAAAGAAAGAATGAAAAAGGAAAAAAGAAAATAAATGACCACACTTCAAGTAAGACGTACTTGTCGTCATTTGCATGTATATCACTTGAAAAAGTTATTTAAGATCCGAATTAATCTTCGTTGTAACGCGAGTGACATATATATCGGAAGATAAACGACGAGTTAGTATTAATGTGGATCGAGGAAAAAAAAAATGAGCATTGATCTCGATAATCGATTCACGATGCTTTTCAAATTATTAAAACACACGTATACACATACGCGTGCGTGCTTATATGAAAAAAAAAAAAAAAAAAAGAAAAAAAAAAATTATTAAAATTATTAAAATTATTAAATAATTCGTAGGGAAAAAAGAGAAAATCGTTCGTTCTAACTATTTCAATCGATTCTTTATCAAGTGCCAAGAATCGATTCGATGAGAAAGAATTAATTAAAAATAAAATTACCTTTCGAAAAAACTCCTTTTACGATTGACTCTTTGAACGATAACGTATCGACGATACTAGATACGATTTTATTCATGACAATCGATTCGATTCGGAATATTCGTTTATGCGAAAATTATAAAATTAATATTAAACGCCATATTATTTTATCAATTTGAACGATCTCACGGCGAATATTCTCTTTTTAATTGAGAGAATTCTATAAAATGAGCGAAAAGTTCAAAATAACGAAAGTTCAAGTCTCTCTCCCCTTCTCCCCCCCACACACACACATATATATATACACATATATACACACAGACATACACATATAGCATTTTGAGTGGGTCGATCGCGTAACGCGTAAATTACGTCAGCAAGTAGTTTGGCCTCATCAAGATGCGATGATAATTTTCTATCTCTAAACGATATCTCTTCTTTTTCTTTTTCTTTTTTTTTTTTTTTTTTTTTATTTATTTATTTCTACTTCTCTTCCTCCATCCTTCCCTCACCGTTCTTTTCCACCGAGACGTAGCCTGCTCGTCACTTTCTATTTGTCACAGGAGCGTTTTATCCAAGAACTACGATCTCGTCCGCGTTTAGATTTAATTTTATTCCGATGTCGTAACGAGCAAACTATACTAACTTCTTGTGTTTTGCACGATTATATACTTTCATTATTTCCACATGGGATTAGATGGGATAGATATCGTATTATATTATAACGTTCATAGAATAAGATACACAAATTATTCGAACATTCTTTTTTTTTTTTTCTCTCATGATCGTTAAATACATACGTTCGATATCTAATCAATGATTATTAAATCGATCTAATTCTATGTCGTAGATATTAGGTTGGAAACTACGAAACGAACGTTGAATAAATAACTAAACAAAAAAAAAACCCGGTTTCATAGTTTTCAACCTAATATATCCTCCTTCTTTTTCTTTTTCTCCTTTTCTTTCGTACAAATATATATTTTTATATCGTATTAATTTCTATTTGAATTGATACAATATTATTATTATTATTGTTATTATTATTATTATTATTTTATTTTATTTTATTTTTTGTCTTTTTTTTTTTTTTTTTTTTATGACGTACGAAAAAATAACGTAAGTGACACATTATCGTAATCGATCATTCTCTGATATAAGTTAAATAATTTTTTTTCAAATATACCTTCTTGCCAGACAATACATATAAGTTTTTTTTGATATGTCAAAACGATTTCTGATAACAATCATATTCGTATGTAACAATGAATCGTATATAAAATTTGAAATGATTTATCTTTTACTTTGTTCGCTTCGCTATATTCTGTCTTTCTTTTTTTTTTTTTTTTTTTTTTTTTTTTTTTTTTTTCTTAAAACTTCGAATATAAAATAATAATAATAATAATAACAATATAAAAATATATCATCCGCCCGTTAATATATTAACAATCATTCGCGTTAGGATCATCGTGTTAACGTCACGATTATCCGAATTGAATCTCGAATCTCATTTTGGAATCTGTCTATGTATCCTAATCCCATGTAACCCAGTTAACGAGTCATCGAAAACGACGAGTGAAAAATTATAAAAGGTAACTGGAATAAAAAAAAAAAAAAAAAAACATAAAAATGAACAAAAAAAAAAAAAAAGAAAATAAACAAAAAAAAAAAACCGAAATACTTAAGTGAAAGCACTTCTCTCGGAGAAGTGTTAAATCGACTACGATTTATTATACTGATCGTTTGCGAGAGAAAGAATAAAAAAAAGAAAAAAAAAAAAAAAAGAAAAAAAGCAGAAAGAAAAGAAAACAAGTAAAAAAATATACACAGAAAAAGACACACACACACACACACGCACAAAGAGAGAGATAGAGAGAGAGAGAGAGAGAAAAGAATAAAACGAATAAGATTGTTACCAAAGCAAAAGTCGGTCGATAACGTGGGCGATCTCTTTCCTCGCATTCGCCCCTTTATATTCTGCTAGGTAACTAACTCTCTGACATATGTATGAATGTATATATATATATATGTATGTATGTATTTATGTATGTAAGTAGTAAAATATGGTGGGCGCAATCTTTTCGTGAGGTTAAATTTTACGAAACGAGTGTGACTAACGTTTATAAGCTTGCTTTTCGTGTGTCGTCGTGTTGTTGTTGTTGTTGTTGTTGTTGTTGTTGTTGTTGTTGTTGTTGTTACTGTTACTGTTCGCGATTCGTAAGAATAAGGAGGAGCAAACAAAAAAAAAAAAAACAAAAAAAAAAAAAGGAAAAGAACAAAAAGGTGAACGACGATCTTGACTGCTACTAACAAGTTCTCGTTTCTTCATTTCTTTTTCAAGATGATATGTATATATATAGATATAAAAAAAAAAAAAAAAAAAAAAAAAAAAGAAAAAAAGAAAAACTCGGACAAAATAAGACGACCTTTGTCATTTTATTCTTTAAAATCAAATAATAAAATACAAATATATCGAAATTATGACGAGAGACAGGCATGCATGACTTGAAAACCTTATTTTCTTGATAAAGAAAAAAAGGATGATACGTATAAGGACAGGATAAAATTAAACGGTTATAATGATCGACGATTCGTAAAATCAATTCCTTTTTTTCTTTTTTTTTTTTTTTTTTTTTTTTTTTTTTTTTTTTTTTTTTTTTTTTTTTTTTTTTTTTTTTGGATTAATTAACTACTTTTACATTGCAAAATTGTTTAGATACGAATAGACATTTGAGAGAACCAATATTTTCTTCCTCACGTCGGTGTCCCGTCAAAAGGGTGTCCATTTAATTGGTCATAATGTATTTAAAAAAAAAAAAAAAAAAAAAAAAAAAAGAAAAAAGAAAAACTAAGAAACTAAAAACTCACTTTGAGAATCGGCAACCGTCGGTGATGATTGAACGTTCGAAGCAGAATTTCCATTGGCCGTGGTTGATGATTGTACGGCACCGAGGCTTCGATAGCCCTCGTCTGATACTTCGCTACAATTGTCCGAATGTTCCCCATCCCCGTGAAGTGATTTTGCGTAATGAACATTGGAGGTGACCGTGGTTGTGTCCTTTGTAAAACTTTCCAATGCCGGTTCTTCCTTAATGGCGGGCGGACTTGGAGTAGGGCTACGACTGCTCGAATCCTCTCGGCACTTGTAATTGTAAATCGTTGGCTCGTATTTCGGTGTGTCTTCCCTTTCGACCGCCCTACGTGCTACTCCTCCATCAACCACGTATCTCCTCGTGAACTCCTCCGAAAGCGGCACTTTCGCTTTGATCTCCTGGTGCAACTCTCTCTTCGGATCCTACGGAATAAAAGGAATCACGTTCCGGTTACTTCTTTTTCTTTATTATTTTTTTTTCTTTTTTTTTTTTTTTCTTTCTTTTCCTCCCCCCTTTATTTTTATTTTATCCTCCTTCCTTTCTTCTTTGTCTCTTTTTATACTTAACTTCTCTTTATCGACGGATTAAATTTCTTTCTTTCATTCTTTAAACTCGAGCGGCGAACTTCTTTTTCCTTCATTTTTTTTTTTTATTTTTTTTTTTTTTTTTTTTTTTTTTTAAGAGAGAGAATTCAACAACGTGCCAATTTCCTTTCCTCTCTCTCTCTCTCTCTCTCTCTCTCTCTCACTCCCTTTTTTTTGTCCCTCTCTTTTTATCTTTTTTAATCAAGAGCGAATTTCAAACCCATCAACATTCCGTATAAAGTTTGCTTCCCTCCGCAAAAAATATAACCCACCCTCTCCCTTAAAAAGTTTGACAATGAATAGCCCGTTCGCTTTTGCTGGTGCTGCTGCTGCTGCTGCTGCTGCTGCTGCTGCTGTTGCTGTTGCTAATACTAATACTACTGGTGCACCTTCGCGATTTCCATTATGTCGAGGAATAAATTCGTCTACTGTTTACATTCCACGTCCACGGGAGAGTTTCTATTTATATGTTTACCACGTACAAGAGGGTACCGCGTATGCGGAGTATAAAGTCTGATGTTATCTCTTTGAATAACATAGTCTGAGAAAAAGAAGGGGAAAAAAAACAAAAAGGAGAGAGAGAGAGATATATATATATATACATATATATAAAAAGATATAAGGCGACGTAAACAATGTTAATATTTCTTATTCGTCTTTCGCAAAAAGAAAAAAAAAGAAAAAAAAAAAATTCTTTCGTTTCGATTACGTTCTTCGTAATACTTATTAAACGAGAGAATTCGGATGTATTATAATTTTTTATTTGTAAAAAATAAACTCACCGACGAATGTTTGGCCTGACCGACGAGAGTTCGAGAATCGTCATTGAAGATCTTTCTGGGTGAATCAACGACAGTATTGGCGATCTTGACATGTTGATCCACCTTAGGAGTTGGACTTTTAGATCTCAAGATTACCTTAGGAGTGGGTGACCTTGATCTTTGTTTCCCTAAGTCACCAATAGTTGTACCTTGTTGATGATGACTCGGACTGTTCAAAAATTTCCTTTGTGGAGTTGGACTCCTCGAACGATTTATCTTTTTCTGTTGATCATCTCCCAACTGTTGCTGCTGCTGTTGCTGCTGTTGTTGTTGTTGTTGTTGTTGTTGATGGTGATGTTGATATTGGTGTGGATGTTGATACTGATGATGATGCTTGTTGGTTTGCTGAGGTGTGGGCGATCTCGAGCGATTGCTTGAAACGCTTCTGGGCGCGTGCAGCTGTCCAACAGTACCAATAGCTGTAGTTGCTGCAGCAGCTGCCGCAGCCGCTGCCGCAGCCGCTGCTGCCGATTGTTGATTCTGCAACGTCGTCCCAGCGCAAGAACCAACGCTCGACGCGGAACTTCTTCGAGTCCTTGGAGGTGATCTATAAGTAATCGCAAAAAAAAAAAAAAGAAAAAAAAGGGAATATAAGAATGATCGATTTATGAATCAACGTGGTAAACGTTGAAAATTGTTGCAAACGTTTGGACATTTTTTTCTTTTTTATTCCCCCCTCTCTCTTTCTTTCTTTCTCTCTCTCTCTCATTCTCTCTCTCTCATATTTTTTTCTTTTATACGAACAAAGGATATATACATTCTCTGTTAATATGATTCTTATAATACCGATGAGCATATATCCTGATGGATTTACTCGTATGAATAAATATCAAGCTATTGTTTGATATATCTCCTAGTGTAAACTATTCGTCCATATCGTAACCATAGATCGATTAACGAGAATCGCAATAGCTACGTCAACAATCATCCCAATGTATTTTTCTTTCAAGTTCCCCCACGCAATATTTTCTCTCTCTTTCTCTCTCTCTGTCTCTCTCTGTCTCTCTCTACGGATCTTCTTGCCTATTATATAATTTTCTTTTTACTACTTATTTTTCTTCCTTTCCTTTTCTTTTTCTTTATATCTA